TCCAGGGGCAGTGCCAGACGGTAGCTGATGCTCCTCTCTCTGCCCTCTTACAGTGCCCCAGGACCTGATGGACACACCGGGTGCTGGCCTGCCTCCCATGTGGCAGCCCAGCACCCGCAAGTCCTCCTGCTCCTCCTGCTCTCAGAGCGGCTCCTCTGACGGTGGGCCATCCAACGGCTGCAGCCACGAAAGGTATGACGGCTCTGCTGCCGCTTGCTTTGAGAAATACAGGTAGAATAAAACAGGGGTTACGGGTGAAAGCCCAGCAGGATGGCTGAACTAGAGCAGTTATGGTGCAAGCGGTGGCTCGAGCCTCACACTCGGCTCGGTTGTCCAGGGGCCATTTGCAGGGGCCAGTGGGACGCGTCCAGGCTGAAGTGAGGCTTGTCCCCTCATCTGGGACGTCTCAGCTGCTCCGTGGCCATCTCCTGGCAGCAAGAATTGCTGCTCTCAAGATGAGCAGAGGTCCCGTGGTGCGCCTCTGAAGGCAAAGCTGGAACAGTCAGATCAAAGCAGGGGCTGAGGGAACGCATGGGAGCGTTTGCTGTCCTCACATCTGACAGTGTCTTTATTGGCAGAGCTCCGCTGAAGCTCCTGTGTGACAATATGAAGTACCAAATCCTCTCCCGGGCCTTCTACGGCTGTGAGTACTTGTCACGTGCATGGTGTCTTGAGAAGTGTGATGGGCAAGGGATGAGGTCCTGGGCTCCGGGCTAGGAGTGGTGCTGAGGCAGCAGGGTGGTGGCCAAGGGTACTGGCACCAGTTTGTTGCATGCAGGGCCCTATGTACATGTGCTCAGGGTTGGGAGCAAACATCTGAACTCTGATCCTCGGACTTCAGCCCAGCGAGCAGCACCGCTGGTGGTACAAGATGATGAGATACTGAGCTGTCCCAGTAGACTCCCTGCTTTGCTGCTTGGGCTGGATGTGGCTTCAGAGGGTCTCCTTTGTGGATCAGAGTCACCGGAGCGCTCTCCTGCACTTCATCCTCGTGGCTCCCCAAGTTCCCCAGCTGAATGTTTGCTTCTGCCTGATGCAGGGCTGGCCTACTGCAGACACCTCTCCACGGTGCGAACCCACCTATCTGCGCTGGTTAACCACAACATCGTGTCTCCTGACGTGCCCTGCAATGCCAGCTCGGGACTGACTGTGGACATATGGCAGCGGTACCTGCAGGACAGCACGGTAGGGCCAGCACTCTTGGGACGTGCCAGTTGTGGTGGGCTTGGGATGCCCGGGGCAGTGTCACTTAAGCAGCTCTAGCATGGTAAGGTAAAGCACATTGATTGAGAAGTTCCCTGAGAACAGAAGTCACGCGGCCTGCCCGGGGCTGCACAGAGCCTGCGGCTCCTAATCCTCGGCACGTGGAAGCCGGGGAACGAAGGCTGCGCTCTGTAACTTGCTGCTGTTGGGAGCCTGCCCGCAGCAGCATCTGTCACCCTGAGTACTGTGGTCGTGAGCGGGGGTCCCAGCGTGCTGTTACGGCGGGATAGCCGGACAGCTGTGACCAGTGCTGCAGTCCTGACACGCTGCCAGCGCTCAGAGGCACAGCAGTGACCTTGAGTGACTTCAGTGGGCCACTTTCTGGCTGTGGTGAGCCAGTGTTTCCCAAAATGCCCATCCGCAGGGGCCTCTGGCTGTACTTAAACCCAAGCGGAGATCGGAGGGAGCATCTGCAATGAATGGGCAGCGAGTCTGGGGGTGGTCAGCGTCTGGGCAGCACTCCGGGCGCCAAAAGAAGGAATAGCCAGGCTGGGGTTGCCCTTGCATCTGCCAGCTGATGGGCTCTGGTCCTGGCTGCATCCGTGCACTGACTCGGAGCTCTTCCCACAGAGTTATGAGGACCAGGAGCTGCTGCGGCTGATCTACTACGGCGGGATCCAGCACGAGATCAGGAAGGCTGTCTGGCCCTTCCTTTTGGGCCATTATCAGTTTGGGATGACGGAGGCAGAAAGGAAGGAGGTTGGTACGGGTGTGTGGCCAGCTCAGCAGCCCGGTGTATGGCATTGGTGTGCCCTGGATGTTTCACAGCTTGAAGTGTCCGTGTGCCAGAGTCCACCCCGTAAACCCACTGGGTGTTGTGCCCACTTTGTACTGCGGCTGTAGATGGGAGGTGGGAGAAAAGACTCAGGTAAGCAGGAATTGGTAGGACCAAGCTCGATGCAGCTGCTGGCCGCTGAGGTTCAGTGCTCTGCACGCTTCTGGGAGGCAGGAAGGAGGCAGATGGTCATTTTTCTGTCCTAATTTTTGCAAGGTTTTGTGGGTCAGGCTCTGGCTGTCACTGTGCCGGAGATGGGTGACTTTATGTCCCATCTAGCCATGGCTAACACAAGCGTGCGCTCAGCTTGTCTGTGCAGGGCTGCTTGGGGGGTGGAGGCGGCACTGGTTTCTGGGCTGTTCCAGACTCTGTCTCTAAACGCCGCAGGCTGACGACCAGATCCGCACCTGCTACGAGCACACCATGGCGGAGTGGCTGGGCTGCGAGGCCATCGTCCGGCAGCGGGAGAAGGAGTCGCACGCAGCAGCTCTGGCCAAGTGCTCGTCCGGGGCCAGTCTGGATTCCCACATTCAGAGGATGTTGCACAGGGACTCGACGATCAGCAACGAGGTGAGGGTGCGGGGGCTCGGGGAGGGCTGCGCCCACCCAGGCTCCGCGTCAGCCTGTGCTACAGCGAGGGATGGAGGCACGGTTCTCGCTCACCCTCCGTCCCTGACCTCTGCCTGCCTCTGCGCCTCGTTGCTCTCTAACCCGTGCCAGTTAGGATTGGAGCTTTCTTACCTGTTTTCTTTCGTCTGCTCTTCCAGAACGTTTAGCAGTAGGAGCGGGCACCTCCTGCAGTATCACCCCAGTTTCCATGCTGTCGGCTGCTGCACTGGCTGGTTTTGGTCTGTAGCCTGAGTGATGGAGGTCGAACAGATTTGCTTGGTTCTTGCAGCTGCAGCATCCGCAGCGGCGCTGAAACGCTCTGCGGCAAAAAAACCCGCGTGGGCCGGGGGCAGCAGGGAGAGAGCAAGGGGTCCTGGCGGAGGACAGCGGGTCTGCCAGGACCCCAGAACTCGTTTGTGGAGCCACGTGTCTGAATCCAGACACTCTCCCCAGTCCTGTGAAATGTTCCTTGCGGTATCTCTGGAGAACAAGAGATATTTGTTACCCGTTTTGCACTCCTGGTGCACATCAGGATTAGTTCCGCGGAAGTCAGTGTTGAAACAGGGGGAGGGAGGAAGGAAGACCATGTTTTTGGCACTGAGGGGCTGTGAAGCTTCCTTTTTGCTATCCATGTTTGCATGCCCTGGGAACATGTGCTGGGAGGGGAGCTGGCAGAGTTAATCCATGCAAAGTTTCACCCTTTTCCCGTCTTAACCTGAAATTTCCTGTTATAAAATGCTCCCATGGTAATGGAGGAAAACTGTCGCCCTTCCTCTCTCCATCAGAGCCCTGCCCAGCAAACACCCACAATACTAGGGTGGGGACAACTCCTGCTGCCGTTCTGAAAATGCTGTGTTTTCTTAAATCCCTATTGTTTGTGTGTGATGTCATTGCAATGCTCTGTACACCCCGACTTGCATGCAGCGTGAGCGGCCGCAGGCTCCTGCGCTGTGAGCCTGGCGCAGGGACGGCTCAGATAACGGGCGGACTTGCTCTTACGTGAAGGCTGGTTGTTCAGAGGGAATCCACGAGGCAGAGCACTGAGCTGGTAGCTGCAAAGCCCGATGCTTCCTTCTGTGCTTCAGCTGGAAGCCAGAAAAGGGTGCTGTTGACTTTTAGAGGGGCTGCCTCAACTGAGTCTGGCTTAAAACATCAGTATTTGTCCTTTTAAGAAAAGGAAAAAACATTAATATGCTCGGAGGGATTGTTTTATGGCCTGTGACTTCATCGTTTATGTAAACTAAGATGGGGCGAGTTGCGTTGCTGCCAAATTAGGACAGAGTTTTGTAGAAATGTGCACTCCAGGGAGACAGCGTGACCCCTCTGAAGGCCAGAAGAAAGCAGTTCATTTCAGACCCAAACATACAGTGTTTCAACAACTGCGTTGGCCTGGGACTTTGCTTTTTGTCATCTTCTCCAGCAGTAACTGTCAGTGAGGCAGGGTGCCGTGCTGCATGACAGATCTACATGGCAGAGTTGATGTGATGTGAATGCCTTTCATGGCCCAAATATGATAATTTATTGGATACATTTTCTGCTTGTTCTTTATGTGCAGATGTGCCCACCTCTGATAGCGTGCTTGAGCCTCCCCCCCGCTCCAGACACCATCCTCTTTGCCTTTTCACTGGCCTTTTTGTTCTCTCTTGCAGTCTTCGCAGAGCTGCAGCTCCGGCCGACAGAATCACGCCCGGCTGCAGAGCGACTCCAGCTCCAGCACGCAGGTGAGCGGCAGCGCTTTGTCCCCTCTTGCTCGTTCGGACAACGACCGCCCAACAGCGTACGGCTCTCTGCCCCGGCTTGGGCTGAGCGCCAGTCGGTGACCGTAACGGTTTCTGGCAGACAGAAGCAGTAGTCGGAGGAGGTGAGCGACTCTCAGACCTGCCTCTGGAGCCACCGAGGCCAGCGCCGCGCGCCGCTTGGCGGTGTTCGGTGTTCACCAGCCTGCTCTGCCCAGGCTTGAAGGACCCAACCGCCGTGTGGCCTTCACACTTGAGGGCCCTTGGCTGCTCCGTGTGCGAGTAACCATGTGTGTAACCAACCTGTTCAAATGATGTTCTGCCCAATATATTACCCTGAGTAAAGTCTAGTCCTTTGGAGCAGAGACTGTGGGCTCCAAGTTGTGCAAATGACCAAGCACTGACCTGCCAAATCTGGGCAGGGGAACCTAAAAGGCTGACTGTGCCCAGAAATTCCTTCAAGAGTCTGGTGCAAATGGGACAGAGCGCTCGATGCTCAGGCTGCAGTTGTCTCACTGTAGCAAAGATGTGGAGCCACAGCCAGGCGCAGCACTAGTAAGTTAAAATGCCCTCAAGTCCTCTGAGCTTTCTTCCATTGGTTGCTGGTGTGAGCCCTGCACATGTAGAGCAGACCTTCCTCCCTCCCCACCGTTGGGAACATGGGCATTACATCCCCAAGAGCTGCATTCAGCAGTGAAACTGAATTCCTGACAGTTTGCTGAACGCGGGGGGTTTGCTCGCTCTCACGCGGTGCTCTGTGCTGTGCAGGTGTTTGAGTCTGTTGATGAAGTGGAACAGACTGAAGCAGATGCTCAGCTGGAAGATGGCAAACAAAGCAAGATCCCCAACGGGACGGTTCCTAACGGCACGTGTTCCCCCGATTCTGGCCACCCCTCTTCCCAGAACTTCTCCATCGCATCGGGGTTCTCGGAGCGCAGCTTCAGCAACGAGGACAGCACCCTGGAAACCAACAAATCCTCGGCCAGCTCTCAGGGAAAGGCCGGTGGGTCCGACGTGCCAGCCCCACAGGACCCAGAAAGTGCCCGGCAGGAGGAGAAGCTGCAGGGCCAAGACAGCCTGGAAGGTGAATTTCCCACCGGTGGAAGCGTGGACTTTGTTCCCGTGGGTGAGCGCTCGGCAAGGGTCCTGCGTGATCGTGACGCTGTGGCCCTGACTGTGGTAGAGAGCTGGGCAGACAGCGAAGCTGAAAAGCAAAGCCTGGTGGAGAGCGAAGATAACCTCTCCGAGGAGCCGGAGATGGAGAGTTTGTACCCACAGCTGGATTCTCTGGCTGTAGCTGATCTGGCCAACAGTGAAGCATCTGCCATCTCCTCGACGGGTGTCACCTACTCTGTAAGTATGGCCTGTTCACCGAGTGGGTTTCTTCCTGGGTGCCTCACTATTTACTTGTGTTTGCCCGGTGCTGATCCCGCGGTTGTGTGTACGAGGGCTCTCCACCTTCCACCCAAACCCTGCCCTGTCGCTCCGTTGCATGTGCAACTTCCTTTTTTGTTTTTTTATTTGAAAACAAATCAACTTTGCTTTTGTTTTGGGCAGCCAGAGCTACTGGACATGTACACAGTGAACCTGCACCGCATTGAGAAGGACGTGCAGCGGTGTGACCGCAACTACTGGTACTTCACCCCTGCCAACCTGGAGAAACTGCGCAACATCATGTGCAGGTGGGAGCGGTGGGGTCAGGGTGGGACCTGCCAGCCCTCCCTGCGAGGAGAGCAGGCTCCTGACTCTGGTGGCTGGTTTCCCTGAATTCACCTTGAGGCTGGAGCCTCAAACTTTGTTCTGGTTACTGTGTTTTGCCTCATTGACTTCCTCCCCTGAATCCCCTCGTCATCCCAGAACTGGGGCCACAGCTCCAAGGGCCTCCCGGTTACCAGACCGAGGAGTCCAGCCGTCCTGCCTTGTGCTGCTCTGCCCCGTGACTGCCACGTGTCTGGGTCGTTGGCCAAAGCAGCGGGCTCCCCGGGGCTGCCCAGGCACGCTGCCTCGTGGTCTGAACCCAGTGCAGCCCACCTGCTCTCTGGAACATGCCTGGAAAATGTTTTAATGAGGATCCACCCGCAGAGCTGTAGTGCTAATGAGGAGGTGCCTGAAGCGGCCAAGCGGTTAGTGCCTACCCAGGAGACAGCAATACCTGGGTGCGTTTCTGATTCTCTTTGCTTAGTCCCTGTGACTAAGAGGTTGCTGTGTGACATTCACCGACTCAAACCAACTCCAGCTCAGCAGCTGCAGCTGCTTCAGGGGCAGCGAAGGCTAAAATATTATTACTCATCTTGCAAATATGAGGAGAAGCTGCTATTTCATTAGAGCTGTCACTTTATCTAACAGCCAGAGTTGGAGATCTCTGCTGAGATGAGACTGACAATGCAGCAGATTTTGGAAAACTAATGGGCACGATGGGAAAGATTGTTTCCTTGTGCCAGCAGTGGAGCTGAGTCCTTTTTGAATGCATTTTGACTTGCTACCAAATATGGGAAGATATCTCTGCAGGGCTGGTTGCTTCCTGAGACGCTGGGTCCGGGGAGGCGAAGCAGGCAATATCATGCAGAGAGCACCAAGAGGATGAACCGAGGGGGAAGGGAAAGGATAAATGGCCAAATTCTCTTGGTCTCTGCCCTTTGACCAAACACCCCACATTGCTGTGCTTTTTGATTTCACTTTTTCCCTGCACTGATTTCCATGCAATGGCCGTGGCACAGCCCTGGATGTGGCCATCGCGGGGTGTTGATCCAGGGCTGTGCCACGAGATCACCACGGGAACTTAATCATTTACAGGCTGGCTGTAGAGGAACGGAGTGCAGGCGTAACAGAATAAACAGGTCTGGTTTGCCCTGCCTGCTGCCGTGCGTTGGTGGCAGCACGCAGGAAACGCCGGCGTCCCAGGAACAGAGGCAGGGCATGGGCAAGCGAGGTGGCAGACTGTGGCACTCATGTGTGGCACGGGAAGGGCTCACAGGCCACCTTTCCTGCTCTCTCACACAGCTACATCTGGCAGCACATCGAGATCGGCTACGTGCAGGGGATGTGTGACCTGCTAGCCCCTCTCCTGGTCATCCTGGATGACGGTGAGTGGGTGGCTCCGCTCTGCTGGTGCCTTTGTGGGAGCGCGTGGGGGGATCTGCTGGGCTGGTGGCCCTTTGCAGTGGGAGAGTCCTGTGCTCGGAGGTGTGGAGCGGCTGGTGGCAGGATCCCTTTTGTTCTTGATGCTGTCTGGCTCCCAGGAACCCAACCTGGGCACAGCATGTACCTTTTGCTGGGGGATCTGTATTCCCGAGGCCGGTCCCTGCTGCACACCCCTGACCGTGTGTGTGGAGTGGGGAGGGATATCCCTCCTGCAAGGGGACGGTGCTGGGGATGCGGGTGCGGAGGCAGCAGTGTCCGTGCAGCCGAGCAGTCCCTGTCTCTCTTCCCTGCGCAGAGGCTCTGGCTTTCAGCTGTTTCACCGAGCTTATGAAGAGGATGAATCAGAACTTTCCCCACGGAGGAGCCATGGACACCCACTTTGCCAACATGAGATCTCTGATCCAGGTAGGGGGGTCCTGGCACAGGTCTGGCAGCTTCTCAAACCAGAGGGGGAAAAGCTGCTTTTGGGGTGGGGGTCTTGGAGGGCCTGAGAGGAGCTTTCCATGGTGGGAAGCGGGAGGGAAGGCAAGGGGCTGTGAAGAGGAGAGCCTGGGAGCGACATGTGCCAGCATTGCAAAGGAGGGAGCAACTGTGTGGAAGATGTGGTGGTGCGGTAGGAGAGCAGTGGGAATGGAGGAGGACAGGCAGAGGAGGGGCTGGTGCCTCTGGTGTGCGCTGATGAAGTTCCTTTTGCTTTTCTTGGCAGATTCTGGACTCTGAGCTCTTCGAGCTGATGCACCAGAATGGTGATTACACTCATTTCTACTTCTGCTACCGATGGTTTCTCCTGGACTTCAAGAGAGGTGTGTGCTGGGAGGGAGGCAGCTGAGACCAGCACATGGGGAGGGAAGGCAAGGTGTGCCGTGCTGCCGCGCTTCTCGCTACACTCTGCAACTTCGGTTGTCTGAACGTAACTTTGTACCGTGTGTTCCTGTGTTGCTTTTCCCTGGTAGACTTGTGGCTGACTTTTCTGTCTAGGTACAGAACCCGTTGCTCCAGCGCTGCTGGTGAGCCTCCACCGGGTTTATCCTGAAGCCTGTGCCACCTGCTGCAGGCCAGAATATTTGTCTCTACCAATGACTGACTTACTGCTTCCACTGGAACAGGTTCTGGTGGGAAGAAACCACCCAGCGTGTCTTCCCAGTGCTGCTGTGAACTCTGTGAGTGGAGATGACTGTAACCCCGTGGCTGGTGTAGTAACTGCTGGGCCTTTTCCTCTGTTAACAGAGCTGGTGTACGATGACGTCTTCGCCGTCTGGGAGACCATCTGGGCAGCTGCACATGTTTCCTCTGCCCACTATGTGCTCTTCATAGCCCTGGCTTTGGTGGAAATGTACCGGGACATAATCTTGGAGAACAACATGGATTTTACAGACATCATCAAGTTTTTCAACGGTATGGTTTGTGTTCTATTGGGCTGAATTTGTGGCAGCTGCTGAGAGGTAGGCAGCACATGCCTGTCTGACTGTAGACAGTCATATCTGGGCTATACCGATAAATGTTTAAAACAAACAGAGCGATGTGGTTGTGCGACGCTGATGCTTGGAACACGACGGTAAAGAGACCCCTTGCCCCTGAACAGTCAGGCTCTGAGGGGCCATGGTGGTGCCATCCTTGGCAACAGCCCCCCTTGCCGTGCTTGAAGGGAGCTGTGAGTTCCTGCTGGCTGTAATCATCCCGAGATGAGCTGGTTAATGATGGCTCTTCAGAGTCAGGTGTCTCTGCAAGGGATGGGGCCTGGGCACTTGGGCAGGAGTTCGCAACTTCAGCTCCCACTTGGAGCTCGGCTGAGGAGCAGAGAGCTGTGAGGCTGCGGGAGCTCCTTGAGACGCTGGGCTGCTCAGGTCTAGCCTCTTTGTGGGTCTCTTCTGTCTGTGTTCCAGAAATGGCTGAGCGGCACAACACCAAGCAGATCCTGAAGCTGGCTCGGGACCTTGTCTATAAAGTCCAGACTCTGATTGAGAACAAATGAAGGACGTAGGGAAGACGAGGCATCCAGACAAAGAGCTGGGACTCCCCTTCAATGCTTCCTCCCCTTCTCCTTTGTCTCCAAGTGCCACACCTGTGGAAGTACGGTAGTTGGACACGTGCTGCTGTCTAAACTGGAAGTACCCTTAGCTCTCCAAGTGCTGTGTTCAGTGTTAGGTCCAAGGGCCCCGGCTCAGATCTTTGCAGCCTTCTCAGTGACTTAACCAAAGATCTGTACAATTGCATTTTATCGCTAAGGACTTGCTTTGGAAGCAGGACCCAGGCAGTCCCTTCCTTGCCTTGCTGCAGCAGAGGGGCAGCACGTGTGGTTACCGCCACAACTGCCAAGGCAGTTGCCAGCATCCCAGGTCAGAGCTCGGGGTCTGGGAGAGCAGAGCTGCCAGCCCTCCTCGGGGCCGACTCGGGCTCCACAGCCTTTGTTGCAAGGAAATAAAGCTGCTTCCTTGGACGGCCGTTACCGTGTGGCACGGGGAAGCCAGCCAGCCCCGCACGCCTGGGCAAGACAGGGACGCTGCCGGTACTCAGTTTCTTACTTACATTGTGAGGTTCTGCCAGAGGGACTTTGATCACAGAAATTCTTCTTCTTTTGATCTTGTCTCTTGATGCATAGCATCCCCTTTTAATATTTTTTTAAGGCACTCTTCTCTCCCTGGGATTTTTATGTTGTTTGCTACTACAATATCTGAGCACACAAGAGGTTCAGCTCTGGATGGATTTTCAGAAAAGCTCCAAATTCAGCATTGGGTTTTTCTTTCAAAATCCATCCTCTGTAACGCTCTCTGAACACTGGAAAATCTGGTCCTAACCTCCTCTGGGAACTCTAGACTCGAGGTTTTCGTACCTGCCTTACTCTAGCTGCTTGTGTTAGGAGTCTGGTCTCCCTGTCGTTCCTCTGCAACCCCTGTTTGGGCAGAGCTCCTCAGAAGGCAAGTCTGAGCTCCCGGCTTTGGTGACTGTCCTGGCCTCCCCTCTGGAAGTGCCTGTCTCTTCCTCTCTTAAATGAAAGAGCAGCTGCTCAAAGCTAGACAGTGCAAACAATCCCCTTGGTGCCTGCGGGTTTTCTGCGTGCTTCTGGGGCTGGCTGCAAAGCCCCCTAAGTCCACTGAAAGTCTCCAGTTAGGTCTTGGTGGGCTTCTTTCACATGCCTGTGAAGAGGAAGACAGCCCAAGGTCCCTGAGTGGTCTTTGCTTTTGGAAGATGCGCTTCTGTGGCCACTTCTCCTGCGGTGGCTCCCCAGCGCTGCAGCCCCTGGAGCGCACGGCATGAAGTGCCTCTCCAGCACTACCAGCGTGAGCGCTGAGCTGCTGTGTCACGCCAGGGCTGTGCTACGGAGGGTTTGGATTCATTTTTCAACTCAGGTAAAAACAATAAAGGAAAAGGAGAGGTGTGGGTTGTTGGTAGGTCTAGTTCAGCCGGGGAGGGCTTTGCCACGGCCACAGAAGGCTGCCCTGACCGCGTGCTTTCAGCAGCAGGGAAGACGCGGGGTTGTAGCTCTATAAGGGTACTTTCTCTCAAGTTTTGCTGCAAAAATGTGTGTTCCCCCTCCATGCGATGTGTGATGTGTGTGTGCTCTCCTCCTCCCCTCTGCAAGATAAGGCCCTGCTCTTCTCTTGCTGTTGGAGTGCTGCTCACCAGAAGGGAAAAGGGGCCCTTCCCTTCTTCTGTGGAACATCTGTTTGTGCTGGCTGTGTTTTGTATTTACTTGTGGCATGTGTCAGATGTTGCTTGCAGAAAAAAGACAGATGTAAATCTGCGGAAGAGAAAACTGCTGCTTCGGAAAAGTTCTGCAGAGCGTGGTGAAGCGATGTGCAGTTTCTGAGCAGATCAGCTAGTCTTTCTGCAGTACCGGGACACAGCGGCTGCAGCTAGAAAATCCAGGGAATGGTGGTATGTACTGAACCCTTTGGGGGAGAGGACTGCAGCAGGGGCTGAGAGCAAAGGGGAGCCTTTCGTTTCTCGTAATCCCAACAAGCAAATGTGTACCAACAATTGAGGAAATCCTCTGAAGCAATTTTCTGCATTTGATCTCCAGAGTGCTTGGTCTGTAGTAGCCCAGGAAACAAAGGCATTTGAGCTTCAAATCTGCCAGCTCGCGTGTGAATCTTTCATCTTTCCACACAGCAGAGCAAAAAGCTCGTGCCCTCCCTGCCAGGCTGTTCCTGTTCCCTCTAGGTCCTAGGACAGGTAATAGTCTGCCTGCGTCACCTTCTCCAAAGGGGAGGTGCTCTGTCCTCCTCTTTCTGAGGGACAAGAACCAATAGGTCACTTAAACACAGTCTTACCAAGCAACATTGCTGACACTTTATCTTTCAAGCTTCTGTTTTTCTTTTCTTGGTTTTTGAACAAAAACAGCCAAGAAATTCTGCACAATATTTGCTGTCTGTATTAACTGAGAGTGTCTTTGGGCCGCTCAATAGCAGTGTTTTTTGAATAACTTCTGGGGGGAAAAAAGTATTTATTTATTGATTGTACATTTCTGTGTGTCCTTGTATACTGAAGTATGTGAGTGCGCATTGTTATGCAAATGGAGATACATCTTTTCAATGTTCTTTACGATATCTTGTAAATGTTTACCAGAAAATTGTGTCTATATAATATATATATAGGATAGAGAGAAAATATGTCAATTAAGTGGGTTATTTTTTGAGGGGGGGAAGAAGAAATCTTTTGCTTCTAAGAACCGTGTGGTTTCTATAGCACCTATTCCATGATGTGCCAATCTGTCACTGTCCCTGTACTGTGAGA